AATTAATCCATCACGAAAAAGTTGACGTTTAAAAACCCGTCATTCCCGAGTGCTGATTTCTCTTGGCAGCAAACTATCTCGCCCTTGCAATAAATTGGGAGATTGCAAGGAACAATCCTTGCATGCCAGATGCAACCAGCATTGGAGACAACTTTCCGAAGCAGGAGAGAAGTGTGAGATAGATTTTGCCCAGGGCTGAGTATTTCTGCATCCCACCTCTCTCCCGTTTCCAATTCGATGTGGTTTGTTTTTTTTTTCTTCTTCTTTCCCTCCGTTTTTTTTTTTTTTTCCCTTTTTTTCTTTTCCACCGATAAAAATGCAAAGCATTATGATTATAACAATAATCAATCCGGAAGAATCCTTTTGTGTTTTCAGCTGTCACAGAAAAACTGAGCTGCCCTGAGATTTGGCTGCTGATTGTGGATCGCTGCAATTTGCATCGGAGGAACAGCAGATCGTTTGTATGAGGTCTTCTCACCAGCCATAAATGAATAAAAGGGCTCTCTCTCTCTCTCTCTCTCTCTGTGTGTGTGTGTGTGTGTGTGTACGTGTGTGTGTGTGTGTGTGAGTGTAGGCATAAGAATTGATGATCCAAGCTCTGTAAAGGACCTTGGAATACTCATCTCTAACGATCTAAGTGCACTGTAACTACATAGCCAAAAAGAACGCACAATAGATACAAACTCAAGATTAATCGCACCAAACTTGATTGCAGGAAATACGACTTCAGCCACAGAGTGGTCAATGTCTGGAATCCTCTACCTGACTCTGTGGTTTCTTCCCCAAACCCCAAAAACTTTAACCTCAGACTGTCTACTGTTGACCTCACCCCTTTCCTAAGAGGTCTGCAGGGGGCGTGCATAAGCGCACCAACGTGCCCACCGTCCCTGTCCTATTGTTTCTTTTATTTTTCTTATATGTACCCATTTCATGTATTCATAGCTATGTATATACTTATACCTGTTATCTTGTAGGCGATTGACAAATCAAAATAAATAAATAAAAAGAAAAGAAAAGAAAGATAGAGGAAAAAAACAACTCTCAGCATTGACGAAGAGAGACCATCCATCACTCTAAAGGACAAAAACATATATTTTTATTACAGGGAGCAACAATGGTGCTTATTCCAGGTAACATTTCAGTGATCTGATGACCTTAAATTTGCCTTCTCCGTTGTGCTTAAAGTTCAGGCAGTCCTTGATTTACAACAATTCGTTCAACGACCGTTCAAAGTTACGACCGCACTGGAAAAAGCCACTTAGGACTGTTTTTCATAGTTACAACCTTTGCAGCCTCAGCCTGGCGTGATCAAAATTCAGAGGCTTGATAACCGATTCATGCCTACGACCATCACAGCCTCACATAATTCGCCTGTTGCAAATTTCTGGACAAGCAACGTCAACAGGGAAGACCTTACTTTTGGGGGAGGAAAATAAGGGGAAAAAAATTCTGCCTCTGCCTAACAGCATCCATGGGTATTCACCTGGCTAGCATCGTGTCAGTGTGTGAGAGAGTTGAGGGCTGTTTGGAAACTGAAAGAGTATTTGCTGTGTGAGCAAGAAGGAGACAGCAAGGAGCCTGGGCGTGGCTTAGCTCAACTGTTCTGTCCTAAAGCTGTTTGCTGCTATGAAACAGAAACTCCTCTCCTCTGCTTGTGTTTTGCCTTTGGAAGAGATTTCTTTCCAGGTGGGGAGGGGGAGTAGAACTCCTTAGCATCAGAGCGTGTTAATAATAATATAGGAAATATTCTAAATGCTCTGAGGGTCATTTTGAAAAATCCTTTCTTAGTGAGCACTTAGAAACCAAGAGGAACATAGGTGCCAAATTTCAAGTTTGTAGGCTTTACAGTTCTGGAGATTTTGTGATGATGCATGAGGGGTATCTTCGCTTTTATATCTATATATAGATATAAAATACAAAAGAAAAAAAATAAGGGCGGGAAAGGGAAAAAGGGAGTGTGAAAGACAAGGGGAAGAGAAAAAGAAAGAAAAGGGGGCATCGGTTTCCAACTCTTCTTAGCCCAAGTACAATGTTCACACACTGCAGCGTCAACTTTTCGCTTTTACACATTAATATATAACTAGCCATTTCTGTAACACCAAATCTTCCTAATCAAGAAAACCAAGATCAAAGTTTCATTTTTTTTCCCTTTCATAAGCACAAATCCCAGGAGTGATATCCAAATAAGTATTTCCCTCTTGAAATAAAGCAATCAAGTTAACTATTCCTGCTTTATCTTCCTTGCTATGGAAATAAAAGCGTTCCTAACTTATCAACTAAAGTGATTTGCTTAAGCACTGGGGGAAGAAAGATCACACGATGGGGAGGGGGAAGGCCTCACTTAACAAATGGTCTCACCTCCCCCACGGAAATCTGGGGCTGAGTCAAGAGTGATCCAGAGCAGGCCATCCAGGATGTGATTTTTGTCCACTGAATTCTCTGGATTTTGAATCTTCTCCAGGCCGCTTGATTTACATCTGACCTCCTTTTTAAGGATAACTTGGCAACACCTGGAATTTACTCGCATTTTCTGGAACAAATTGTAATTTCGCATCTTCTCCGTCGATGCGGTTTGTTTGTGGCACTTCTGGCTTGGGCAGATGCCTTGCCAAGAATGAGACATTTCACTTTGGAGAGGGGAAATAAATAAAATAAAAATAATCAAATTTAAGCGGAGCTCAATATTCTGACTGCGGACAGGAAATATTCTGGCTCGGTTCATACGATGGGCTTAAGAGAGAAAAGCCAGGATGCAAATATTTTAACCTGGTTAAACTAAAACAACAAAGATAAAAAAGAGATTAAAAAAAAACTTTGAAGGATGGTTGCAGGAAGTGTATATGGCTAGTCTAGAGAAAAGAAGGACTAGTGGGGACATGATAGCAGGAGCCCAGTATAGTGAGTCCTCAACTTAGGACCAACCACGATGGAGCTGCAAATTTTGGTTGCTAAGTGAAACGTTTGTTAAGTGAAATTTGCCCCATTTTATGGCTTTTCATGCTTTTCAAGGAGTAATTATGCGCCTCCCACCTCCTCCCCAGAGAATGAAATATTTCGGGGAATATTTAAAAAGGCAGCATATTATATTTCCCCAAAAGAGAAATGGAGAAACAGGTTCTTAAAGGCAGGAAGCAGTCCCCAGTTTCCCGCGTAGTAAAACAACCGCCAGCAGATGCCTGAAATCTTTAGAGATGGATATTTTGTGCCCATTAAGAAATCCAGGCTAAACTAATCACAAAAAACCCACTTTCAGCTCCAGGCGAGGGGGTTAAGAAGGACAGGATGTGGCCTTTTAGGACATAATAGGATTAACCCACCACCACTGAATTAGCAAGAGACACAAAAGCCCAGCACAGTTCAAACCTCAAAGTCATAGAAACCTATAAAGATCCATCCACTCATTCAGCCATTTTGTCAGCTGCCCCAGAACTACATGCTATTGTCGATTCAGCTCATCAGTAAATGGAGACTTTCTTTCCATGCGGTCTCCATTTTATTTCCAGGTTTTTCCTTCCTCCCAGCTTGGAAACAGACCGGATTTTTCTTCCAACAATACACCATTGTTAAGTGAATCACCGCAGGTGTTAAGCTGGTCACACGGTTGTTAAATGAATCTGGCTTCCCCACTGACTTTATTTCTCAGAAGGTCACGACCCTGGGGCTGTGCAACCTTCATAAGTACATGCCAGTTGCCAAGTGTCCGAATTTAGGTCACGGGACCATGGAGATGCTACATTAGTCATAAGTGTGAAAAACGATCCTAAGTCACCTTTTTTAGTGCTCTAGTAACTTTGAACGGTCACTAAATGAACTGTTGTAAGTCGAGGACTACCTGAACTCAGCGGCTGCAGACAAAATTGAAAAAAAAGACCTGAATGAGTGTGGCCTGTGAGTGTTTGCTGTGGTGGTAAACCCACCGACAATTATAAAAAATCCCTACTTAATTGCAGCACGAAGCAGAATAAAACGCCAAAAAGGATTGGCAGCCACTTCTTGAGCAGCCAAATAATCCGCGGTGGAATATTGCTCTGATTTATGGTTAAGACAATTGCTTGAGGAATAAATCGCCTGTTTGGTTTGGTGGCAAAGTCATCCAACTAGAAAGCAGGAGATGGTTGAGTTCTAGTTCTGCGTTAGGCATGAAAGCCAGGTGCCTGACTTTGGGCCAAATACCAGGAGACGGTGAGTTCTAGATGGTGAATTTAACCTCCCAGCCTAACCCAGACAAGTACAAAACAATATGGCGGTGCTAATCTTGTAGAGACGAATCAAAGGTGTTGTGTTGTCTCTTAGGGTAACATAGAAACTGGGTTCACACGATACAGTAAGTTATGCATGCTGAAAACGTGCCATGGTTTAACAAGAGAAATTTGGCCTGTTGAGCAAATACCTAACTTTTATCTGATACGATGTTTTCCTGAATGTGCTGTTTAGGCTAGCATAATATTTATATAACACAGAACAAAACATCATGCGGTCTCATACTTGCAAACCCTTTGTATACAAATTTGATGGAGGTTTTTTTTTTTGCTCTGTATATAAATAAACAGAAGATTTATTTATAACACAGTCAACATCAGGGAAATAACGCTGCTCCAACTGTTGCGAAAATGAGCAAATGAAAATTAAACAACTGTTAAATGACAAAAAGGCCATCAAAGCCATAGAGACTACATACACACATTTCCACTGACACGCATACTTACCTATACATATATGCAGACTTTGAGCCAATCACCAGGAGATGGTGAGTTCTAGTCCTGCCTTAAATGCCAAAGCTGGGTGGATGGCTTTGAGTCAATTATAGGAGACTCTTGAAGTTTGAAAGGATATTTTGATAAGGGGCTTTGGATAATGAAGGAAAAATTTGGGGATCTAAATAAATAAAATAAATAACGTTTTTTGAATGTGGGTGTGCAATTGCACACTTAAACTCTTGTTGGTTAATGAGACGTCTGAAAGCAAACAACCACCCGCAGAGACCAACCAATTGTTCTGAGTTTTACGTTTAGCCTTTTGATAGGCCCTAATGGCTAATCAATAAAGCATTTATTACTCTCATCACAAGGGGAGCCTCAGCCCCTCCAGCCAAATTGGGGGGGGCGTGCAGGAAAGGATGCAGGAAAACCCAAGGCTCATCCCAAGGACCACAAATTGGAAATGGGGGAGAAAAAGGAGGAAAAACACACTTGGCCAGCTTGGACTCCTTCGATGTGTTTGGCTGGAAAAACCTGTTTTTTTTAAAAAAAAGACAGCTATTGGGACTTTGGCCAGTTTTCCTTCCCAGCTGTTGAAACTCCAGCAAGGAAGCCAAAATGTGGATGTGTAAAAAAGACGTGGGTTTTGTGTGATTCTGTGTGTGTGTGTGTGTGTGTGTGAGTGAGTGACCTGGGGTGACCCATCCAGGGTTGCAGCGTTAGGGAAGTCCTTTCTCGTGTGCTTTGTGAGCACGACACTGAGAAACGGGCCTGCAACAGCGACGGTATGCCGCCGGTTTGGACCGGTTTGGCTGAACCGGTAGCCAAAATTCCTACCTCGTAAAAAAAAAAAAAACCCTCCAACGATCCGCAGAGAGGAAAAAAAGAAGAGAAAAGTGCAGGGTTGGCCTTCCCAGCTGCCCCTGCGCTTTTCTCGTCTTAATCCTCTCCGCTGATCGGCATGGCGGAGTCCCAGCCGGTGTGGGGAAAGCTGCGGGCGCACCTGAGGTTCGCACGCAGGAGCGAGCGCCAAACCGCTAGTGGGAAACGTAGGACCTCACTGCTGGCCTGCGAGGTGGCTTTTCGGGAGCACGGCCTTCGGGATAGCATTGGAACACAACGCCCCATGGGGGAGGAGGTGCCGCCCTTTGGAGCGGGGGAAACATCATCGGGAAGAGAAGGTCGTGCCAGGCCTTGAGTTTGCTTTCTGGTGCTGGGAAGGTTTGGAATGGAGAGGTGACCTCCTTTTGCAAGGTGCACCATCCTCAAACATCACGTTGACGATTTAGAAGAGGGGATAGAAGGGGAACTTGCCAAATTTGCAGGTGATACTAAGCTGGCAGGAATAGCTAACATCCAAGAAGACAGGCTGAAGATCCAGATGGATCTCGACAGACTAGAACACGGGGCCGTATCTAACAAAATGAAATTCAACGTAGAGAAAAGTAAAGTCCTACACTTAGGAAAGAAAAACCCGAAGGACCCATATAGACCGGGTGAAACCAGGCTCAATAGCAGGAACTGTGAGAGGGTAGGGCTTCCTGCCTAAGCAGAGGGTTGGACTAGAAGATCTCCAAGGTCCCTTCTGAGTGTGTTACTCTGTTAGAATCAGTTGAATGGCTTTAAGACTTGTGGACGTCAACTCCCAGAATTCCCCAGCGAGCCATGCTGGGAGTTGAAGTCTTAAAATTGCCAAGTTCTGGTTTATATCGGGGGTCTTCAAACTTGACAGCTTGAAGACTTGTGGACTTCAACACCCAGAATTCCTCCTCCAGTCATCTTAGCTCAGGAAGTCTGGGAGTCGAAGCCCCCAAGTCTTAAGTTGCCCTGTTGGAAGACCCTTGTGATAGATGATGGATGGATGGATGGAGATGGAAGGATGGATGGATGAAGAGACGATAGACAGACAGGCAGACAGACAGATGATAAAATTCAGGGGTCTTCAAATTTAGCAGCTTTAAGACTTGTGGACTTCAACTCCCAGAATTCCTCCCCCAGTCATGTTAGCTCAGGAATTCTGGGAGTTGAAGTTCACAAGTCTTCAAGGGGCTACGTTTGGAGATCTCTGTGATAGATCAAATGAAATATTAGTCCAATTGTCTTGATTCAACCTTTTAGATACTTTTACTCTGAGCCTCCATTGACAACAATGGATGAAAACTAACCAAGGAGAGATCCAACCTGGAAATAAGGAGAAACTTCCTGACAGAACAATTCCTCAGCGGAATTTCGGTCTTCAAACTTGGCAGCTTTAAGCCTTGTGGATTTCCACTCCCAGAATTCCTCATCCAGTCACGTTAGCTCCAGGAATTCTGGGAGTGGAAGTCCACAAGTCTTAAAGCTGCCAAGTTTGAGGATCCCTGGTATAAAGTCTCCAGCTTGGGTTGGACTTGAAGACCTCCAAATTCCCTTCCAACTCTGTTATTCTATTATTCTGCCATCCAGGTACTGAGGCATCCACATACTTCTCTACCACGATACTACCAACTCCCTGCTTGAAGGCTGGTCTGAGGAATTTAGAATGTAATGTTTGGTTTCTGCCACACACAAACACCCACACGGCAAGAAACATTGAGTCAGCTGTCTGTAGAAGAAGGTTCCTTCAGAAAACTGGAGATTAGCTGCTTTCTTTCTGACAGAGAACATCTTTGTGCTCAGTAACAATGGCTTCTCTCGTGCCTCCCTTCCAGGTTTACGGCTGGTTGTGATGTAACCACTATGTACAGCAATAGTGAGACAGACCTACACATTCCTGGATGTGACTTTTGGGAGGGTTTTTGGGTGAGATTTTGATGATTTTGTGATGCGTTGAATGCAGAACAGAACTTCCTGGGAATACAATGTCCAATATCGTCCTAAAGTCAGAGGTCCCCAAACTTGGCCACTTTTAAGACTTGTGGACTTCAACTCCCGGAATTATTCCCAATAAGTAACTAAAAGGAAATTTCTTCTAGCAAATCCATCAGCTTAACATCAGCTGGCTGGAGAATTCTGGGAGTTGAAGTCCATAAGTGGCCAAGTTTGGAGACTCCTGAGATAAGGGATTTGCTAGAAGAAATGTCCTTTTAGTTACTTATTGGGAATAATTCTGGGAGTTGAAGTCCACAAGTCTTAAAGTGGCCAACTTTGGGGACCTCTGTCCTAAGTCCTCTACGGCAAGATTGTGGTCTTAAAGGTCAAGGTTTCCCTCGCACATCCGTGTTAGTCGTTTCCGGCTCTAGGGGGTGGTGCTCATCTCCGTTACAAAGCCGAAGAAGAGCCAGCGCTGTCCAAAAACATCTCCGTGGTCATGTGGCCAGCAGGACTCAACGTTGAACAACTGCAAGGTTGGCAGAAGCTGGGACAAGTAACGGAAGCTCACTCCATTACGCGGCGCTAGGGATTTGAACCACCGAACGGCCACCCTTTCTGATCGACAAGCTCTGTGTCTTAGCCACTGAGCCACCGTGTCCCATTATTCTGGTCTTACATCATGCTAATTGTAGCACGAAGTTATTGTTATACTGCCATTCAGGTAGTCCTTGACTTACAGCCATTTATTAAGTCAATCCATCAGAGTAGAGCTGGAAGGGACCTTGGAGGTCATCTAGTCCAACCCCATGAGGGAGGAGGAGACCCTATACCATTTCAGATAGGTGACTGTCCAGTCTCTTCTTAAAGACCCCGTGTCCACTTTTGCGACCTTCTGACAAGCAAGCCGTAGGTTGCATTAACAGAGGGATACAATCGAGATCAAGGGAGGTACTAATACCACTCTGTAAAGCCTTAGTAAGGCCACACCTAGAGTAGAGCACCCAGTTTTGGTCGCCACATTATAAAAAAGAGGTTGAGACTCTAGAAAAAGTGCAGAGAAGAGCAACCAGGATGATGAGGGGACTGGAGGCTAAAACATATGAAGAAAGGTTGCAGGAACCGGGCCTGGCTAGTCTAGGGAAGAGAAGGACCAGGGGAGACTGGAGAGCATCTTCCAATATTTGAGGGGCTGCCACAGAGAGAAGAGAAGGGGGTCAAGCTATTCTCCAAGGCACCCGAAGGCCAGACAAGGAATAATGGATGGAAACTGATCAAGGAGAAACTCAACCTGGAAATAAGGAGAAACTTTCCGACAGGGAGAACAATCAACCAGTGGAACAGAAGTTGCCTTCAGAAGGAGCTTCCTCCCAGGAGATTTTCAAGAAGATACTGGGCTGCCATCTGTCAGAAACGGTGTAGGGTCTCCCGCTTGGGCAGGGGGTTGGACTAGATGACCTACAAGGCCCCTTCCAAGATCCGTTCATCTGAAAAGTCAATAGGGAAGCCACATTACCAATCTTAACAACCGCAGCGATCCCCTTAACAACTGTGGCAAGCGAGGTCATAAATCGGGACAAAGCTCAACATCTCACCTCGCGACACCCATTTTGCGTTCCATTGTGGCCGGGAGTGCAAGGCTACCTACACGTAATCAGAACTCGTCTCTAGGAAGAAACCCGAGGTGGACATTGGACTAGCTTTCCTATCAAACCAGGAAATGTTTCTCCTGGTTTCGAGTGAAGTAAATCTGAGGTAATTAAATCGTATCTTTAAAGTCCGGATTTTCCACCAGCTGATATTTTTATAATGGTTTTTTTTTTTTTTAATCGCTCACCTCTAGCCTCGAGTTAAGAAGCTGTCAAAAAGATTGATGGGCTTTTCATTCTGACCTTCGGGTCAAAGGAGGAAACATGAAGAAGCGGGTAGGGGGTCAAGGTCTTCTCCAAAGCCCCCAAAGGAAGAAGCGACGGGTGGAAAACTCACCCGGGAGAGAAGCAACGTGGAACTCAGGAGGAATTTCCTAACAGGGAGGACAATGACCCGGTGGGACTCCTTGCCACCAGAAGCTGTGGGTGCTCCATCACTGGACGCCCTCAAGACAAAATTGGGCGACCATTTGTCTGAAATGGTATAATGTTAAGGTTAGGGTTTCCTGCCTGAGCTGCGGGTTGGACTAGAAGACCTCTAAGGTCCCTTCCAACTCTATCATTCTATTCCTATTTCGTTTCGATTCTATTCTGTATTTTCTCTTTTCTTTTCTTTTCTTTTCTTTTCTTTTTTCTTTTCTTTTCTTCTCTTCTCTTCTCTTCTCTTCTCTTCTCTTCTCTAGTCCAGTCCAGTCCAGTCCAGTCCAGTCCTACACTGATTCATTCATTCGCCTGTTTCCTATTTCGTTTCGATTCTATTCTGCATTTTCTCTTTTCTTTTCTTTTCTTTTCTTTTCTTTTCTTTTCTTTTCTTTTCTTTTCTTTTCTTCTCTTCTCTTCTCTTCTCTTCTCTTCTCTAGTCCAGTCCAGTCCAGTCCAGTCCAGTCCTACCCTGATTTGTTCATTCTCCTGTTTTCCTCACCAACATCTTATCTGGAGAACAAAACTTTTCCACCCCATCAGGAAGATTTTTGGCTAATGCCGAGTCTAATCTATTTTATATATACACGCTGGTTCCTCTACCGCGAGAAGAATGCCAGGGCTTGAGGGCTGAATGGGCTGGACTTTCATGGCACTGGTTTCCAAGGCCAAGATGTTCGTTTAGTGACCGTTCCAATTTACAACGGCGCTGAAAAAAGTGGCCTATGGTTATTATTCACACTTACGAGCGTTGCGGTGTCCCCCGTGGTCACGCGATCCAAATTCAGGCCAAATTGGCCACTGACTCGTATTTACGACGGTTGCAATGTCCTGCGATGCCCCTTTGCGACCTTATGACGAGGGAAGTCAGTGGAGGAAACCATGTTGTTCGCTTAACAACCGCGGTGATGCACTGAACGAGCGTGGCAACAAAAGGTTGTTAAAATGGGGTGAAAGTCCCTGAAAAACCTGTCTTGCTTACCAACCAGAAATTTCGGGCTCCATTGTGGTCGTAAGTCGAGCACTAGCTGTAACACGTCCCTTCTTAGGAGGGGGGAAGAGAGTCGGAGTCCATCGCTTTGGCTTCCGAATCCCACCTAGTCTTTGTTTTCACCCCAGCCCCCCCCCAAAATTGGATAAATGCTCACCTGAGTTGGCATAAGGCCGTGATGGTGAACCTGTGGCACGCAAGCCCCGGGCAAATTGACCTACACTGCGCATGCGCGCGCCTCCCAGCTGAGTTTTCAGGTCTTTTTCGGCCTCCCAGAGGCTCAGGGGAAGCCTTTGCAGGCCGAAAAACGGGCCTGTTTCATCACTTCCGGTATTTCCGGAAATACTGGAAGTGATGAAACAGGCCTGTTTTTCGGCCTGCAAAGGCTGCAGAGGCTCCCCTCGAGCCCCTGGGAGGCCGAA